GTCCTCAAGAAGTGCTCTTTCACTATTGACCATCTGTCCAGCCCCAACACAACTTAAAAAAGATAATCACATTTACTTACTTGTGTGTATGCATGTGTGTCTGTATTACAGTTTGAGTGTGGAGATCAGAGGACAACCTGTAGGAGTTGGTTCTCTTCTTCCACCATGTGGGTCCGAGGGATTGAACTCAGATGGTCAGGCTTGACAGCAAGCACCTTTACCAATGAAGCCACCTTGCCACTCCCATGCACCATTTTTAACCTCCTCTTTTTCCCTCAGCAAGACACTGTGGACAGGTTTCCATGTCAACAAAGACAGATCTACAGTGCTGTCTCCATGGCACAGAGAACCCTGTCAGCTGCTGGATGGAATTTACTTACCCATTGCTCACAGATAGGTAATTGGGTAGTTTCTAATTTATCACCGTCATCAAGGGAGGTGCGATGAGCCTGCTCGTAAAATCAATGCCTATGCTCGCACTTGGCAGATTATTCACAACAAAGATCTGCAACTCCGAGGATTTGGCTTCCTGAGCTCAATTTTCTTTACTTGAGATTTAAGGTTCTAAGTATCTGAAAGGCATTGTCTTTCTTTCCAGGCAGGTTTAGTTGCAGCCCCAGGGCCAACATGTCCCCATAACAGCATCTCTGGGGACAGTGTTTATTGGTGAGGCAAGTTAGTAGGTCAAGGGGAATGGCCAGGGTTTGGGGTGAGGGTGCTGCTGATCTGGAGTTTGGCTGCCCCTGTTCACAGAGCCACACTGTCCTCTGGGCCTCTTCTCCCAATCAGATCTGACTGGGGGGAGAGGCCATGTAGGGGAGGCTGGCAGGATGTGACAAGCACATAGAGGTATCAGTCACCTGTGATGCCACCCTGGTAATGCTCTAGCCCTGTCAATGTCTCACCTCACCTAAGCCCCATACCCACTCTCTGATGCTATCCTGGCTCTTCATTTTGTGGAAAACATCCTCAGAAAAAGCCAGTGACTTGTCCAAGGTCATACAACCAAATAATAGAAATGAGGTACGACCCAGATCTGCTGATTTCTCCGCCCATGTGTGGTCCCATTTTATTGGGGTCAGTAGAAGGAGGACAAAAGTGTCCATGGGGAAGGCTGTGGGAACCCTAGTCACCCAATCTTTCCCCTCCAAGTCCTAAGGCTCAGGAAGGACTCTACATCCTTACCCTCCATGTCCCCACACCCTAGGGGAAGCACTGGAAGTAGCTTCTAGAAACACATAGTTCTGACAAAACTGGTCTCATGCTTCCCATGCTGGTTTATAACCTCTTTAAAAAAAATTCTACCACACACTATGAAGTTCTTTCTGCAACAGTAAATTTAGATCCCTGGCCCCATTTCTAACAGCCGCAGTAGGCACCACTGTACAGCTGCAGTGAGCAAATTTAACTAGTCCCCTGGTGATGGATAAATGGGTTGTTCCCAATTGCTCTGCTACTATCAACAACACTACCAATTGCCCCCAGCAGGGCTGATTGGTGTCAGCTTTCAGGTCTCAGGTTCAATGTCATAGCATCAGAGAAGTCATCTTGGGCAGGCCCATGCCTCACAGTGTGGCCCTGTCCTGCTCATCTTCTTCTCTTACTGCATACCGATCCCTGATTCCAGCTCTTCCCACTCTGTTTATGTGGGTGGCTATTTAATATCCGTCCCTCCCCAAGACTGGGTCCTCTGGGAGGGGTACAGATGAGTGCAACTGTTCTCAACAATATCCCTGGAATGTATGGATGCCTCTGGGGCTGGTGTCCCACAAGTAGAGTGGGTTGCCTAGCTTCAGACCTTGGAGAACCTTCTACATGCCATGTTCTGTGGCTCTCCCCAGTGCCAATTCAGGGACCCACAGTTCTGCCCATGAGCGCAGCTTGAATCTTTGCCAGTGCTGCTCACTCAGGGCCCCTAGTACTGGGCCTGGCTTGCTGTACACATAGTTCCTAGGCCTGAGGTGGCACAGCCACTCTACCACCCACAGACCATGGAGCCCCGTGCCAGTCACTTTCCTCTCCAGATCTGTACCGCCTCATCTGCCCAGTAGGGCCACACTGCTAATTTCATAGGGCTGCTCTGGACAAGACAATGGATGGTTTCAGCAGAGTAGGCCCACATGCAGTGAGTTAGGTCTGAGTTCACCTCTTCTGAATGAATTCCTTATACCTTGAATGAGTTCAAGTCTTCCTCAGCCCCTTCCAGTTGTCCCTGGGGATTCCTATCCTAAGAGCTTGTTAAAAGACTACATGCCCTGTTCTGGCCCTTGCTAGAGGCTCAGCTGCCTGTGATCTTAAATACCTGCTTAGCTTGCCACACCTTAAACATACAAGAGGCACAGACACAGCAAGGAGATAGACCGAGGGGTTCTCTTTCTCCTGGGGGAGTTTCTGAGCCCCTTGTCCTTACACTGGAGGTTTAAGTCACCTGTCGGATTTCTCACCCTACCTCCCCTATTCTTGGAGCACATGCCAAGTGGTTTTACCTTGTAAGCCTCATTTTCCTCTTCCATACAGTGGGTACAATAAGAAAATCCATAAAGAGTTGATGAGATAAAACAGTAAAATGCAAGCTGGGCGTGGTTGCCTTTAATACCAGCACTTGGGAGGCAGAGGCAGGCACATCTCTGAGAAGTTCAAGGCCAGTTGGGTCTACATAGAGTTCCAGGCCAGCTGGAGCTACAGGGAGACCCTCTCAAAAAGACCAAACGCTGCTACCCTAGGGTATAGTTAAAAGTTGGAGTGCATGCCTAGCAGGCACTGGTTCCTGAGTTTCATTCCTGTCACAGTAAAAATATACATACATACATACATACATACATACATACATACATACATAAAATAAAATAAAATAAAATAAATAGGAAAATGCTTAGCAAAGAACCTGGTACTTAGTAGGGGCTCACTAAATGCTTACTATTATTGTTAGGGTTGGTGTTTACTTATTTTTCTGACATGTACTACCAAGAAGAAAGTACATGACACAAAAATGTTGAGCGTGGTAAATGACCCCAAGCAAAGGTTGAATCCTACCCTCCAGGCCCATAGACAGGAAGCTGCTGTCTCCTACAAGCCCCTCGTCACCAGGTCATCTTTGACTCACAAAGTGGATCTTTTCCCAGACTTTCCTGATGCTGTTACTGTTGTCCATAAATGAACAAAAGGGAATCAATCCACTGATCAATGTGTGGCTGGCTCCCTGACCTCAATTCTCCGGGGACCCCATCCTTCTCAGCTGCCTTTGCCCTGGGCACAGAGACTCCCCAGTTCCTTAAATAACCAGTTTGTTAGCAAAATCGCATCAGTAACACCTCCCTCGCACTGCACGGCCTCCGTCTTTCCACGTGATACTGAGGGCTGCTCCCAACTTGTGCCAAGAAATCCCTTCTGCGTCACTGGGCCACACATGCGGGGGCTACAAGCAATGGCAGCTGTGACTCTAGAGCCTGCTCTGGGGTAGAGGAGGCCATGGAGCAGCACTCAGCATCTGGAGAGACTGAGCCCTCACCCATGCCTCAGCTTCCCTCACGGTGATGGGGAAGTGAACTGAGATGCTGAAGAGCACCAGGCATTCATAATGCTGGGCACATAGTAAACTGCTTAAGAAACAGGCACTGTCCTGCAGGCTGGCCCTGCTACACACGTCGTCCTCATGGAGGCCTGGTTTGCCTTGGGCAAACCCAACATGTTTGCCAATGGCTGAACCCACAGATACTCTGGGCTTTCAGAGTGCAAAGTCCTTACCACTTCCATAGTGACAGCTTCTCATGCAAATGTGACAGCTTCCCCAGTTACCACATTAGACTGGGGCCAGGGTGGGGGAACTGGGTTGGGGGGCACTAATTAATGGGACCCCTTTCATGGTTATTAACGATAAGGCTGGTACAGTACAAATGTGCAGCTTTTGGTTCTTAAAGATGCGCTTCTACATACATTATTGACAGTGAACTTCACGGGTTTTTATATTAGCCTCAATATTTGCATATTATGCATATTTACAAGTCTTTCCCCTTCTTATAATCATCCTGTGAAGGAAGCCAGCAGCTGTTGACAGAAGGGAGGTGGGAAGCAAGAGGGGCTGGTGTACTGAGGGCCAAACTCACTGCAGCAAGTCTCTGGGACCCCAAAAGGTCAGAGGATGTCTGGGTCATTCTGGAGTTAAGTGAAGAATCATGGGGGCTTCCCACCCCCCCTTCTCTCTGTTCCTCCCTCCCTCCTCTTTCTTTCCCTCCCTCCTTTCCTCCCAGCCCCCAGGGAACTGAGGTTACTCTAGGAGGCAGATCTTAAACCCAGGGTCCCATGATGCAGGCTGAATGGTGGCTAGGGGTCATCTTAAGCATTTCCTCACTTGTGAACCAGGTTTGTTATGCCAGGAGAACCTTGTGGGGTAGTACAGCGTAAGAACAAGGAGACGAGCCAGGCGCTGTGGTTGGCACCATGTGGGCCTGAGCTGTTCCAGCTCTGTGAGAAGGCTGACGGAGGCACCAGACTTCAGTGGAAACCATGTGGGTGGGGATGGATGGCCACAGATAGGACTGGGCCCAGGCCCTGATTATGTGAGGTTAAGCAAGGTGGAAGCTGGAAAAGGAAGCGCACTTTCCTGTGATCCCCGAGATGTCACACTCCTTGCTTCCCTTCCCAGTTACCACATTAGACAGGCCCCTCCTGAACCTGTGCTCAGCACCTGCCCCTGCCCAGGTGTGGCATGAGCCCAAGCTGGCTTTTAGGGCGTGCAAAGCTGGGCTTGCTGTGCATCCTCAGGCAAGGGCTTTGGCGGTTTCCTGAAAAAAACAGGCATGCTCGCCATGCCTGCCTCCTAGATTGTCAGGAGGACAGGTACACCCAGCTGGTTAAACTACAAGTTGTGCCCAGATAGGAATGCTCTTGTGGAGGTCTCTCCGCCAGCTTGTGGGTGCGGGCAGTGGGAGAGCCAGGCATTTCCCAATGGTGGCAGCACAGTGGTGGGTGAGGTGCCTAGGCCTGTGGCCGTTTTTACTTACCAACCAGGGAGCTACACGAACAGGAAAAATGGTAGCTGGCCAGTCTGTGGTAGGTGGTATCTCAGGAGTGGGTATGGGGCCAAGGGCTGCCACACACATCCCTCCAGCACTCCATAGGAGGTATGGAACAGAAACTGTGGTCACATAGGGGGCCACCAGACTCCTGGCAGAGGAAGGACCAGTGCCTGCAGGGACACAGGAGGAACACTAATTAGGAGAGGCCAGAAATGAGTCCTGAACCTTGAGACCCTCAGACCGGCACTAGGAGGGGACAAGCTGGTGCAGTCATCATAGAAACACAAGTGTTTGTAAAATACTGCATTTTACAGAGAGCCTTTGTATTCCACCCAGCTCAAGGGGGCCCACATTGTTTTCAGAGGTATATTTACATGTCATGCATATTTACGATGCCTTTCCCACCGCCCACAGAATCCCCACAGCAGCCACCTCCAGGGAAGCCTCAGTTCTTAGTGAAAATCCTTCAGCTTGCTTGGCCTTCTCATTTTTTTGCCTCCTGAGGAAACAGGAGGAGGGGCTGAAGTTACACCACTGTGAACTCAAATCTCAGCTTGGCCCCTCACTCACTGAGGGATAACGGGCAGACAGCTTCCTTTTTCTTTTCTTTTTCTTTCCTTTTTCTTTTCCTGAGTCTCCCTGTAGCCCTAGCTTACAGAGATCAGCCTGCCTCTGCCTCCATAGTGCTGGGATTAAAGCCATGTGCCACCACACCCAGCAAATTTCCTCTTTCTGAGCCACAGTTTCCCCACTTGTCAAGAGCATATTCCTGAGGGCTCTGGTGAGACCTAAGAAGACAATGCAGGCAGGATGCTGGCGCAGCAAAAAGACTCTGAGAGGGCCCCTCTCATATCCCTGCCCTCCCAGGTTTCCCTATGAGAGCTGAGGGAAGCCAGGTGTGTCCTCCACCCACCCTACCTGAGCAGGTGTCTGTGCCCCTAGCACTCCCAGCCTGGATATTTTGCCAAGGAAGCAGGCCCTCCACTCTACACTCACCCAGGAGGTGCCGAGCTGCCCTGGAGGCCTTAGAAGATGCCCCATGCCCTCTGTCCTCCCATTCTACAGGTCATAAAACTGAATGAGAGACAGAGCCATTGTTGGCGTGGGGGCCAGAATCTGAGCAGTTAGGCTGAGGTTTGAACACCAGCCCCTCCATCAACTCTCAGGAGAGGATACAGGGACCAGTTTACCACAGCAAGAAGCCAAAAGAGGCAACTGAAGTTGGGAGGCTCACCTTCCTCATCTGCTTGTCCTCAGACCTGGAGACGCCCTTCCATCCTCTCCCCAGAAATAGCACCTCTCATAAATCAGCACTCATATTGCCATGCTTTAGGGAGAAACTGGGGCATGCAGAAACTGAGGGCAGAGGATAGGCTCCTCATCTGGGTGTCCCCCAAACTCCTTGGAGCCCTGGCATTCACCCAAAAAGGGAAGGCAGTAAGCACACACTGACAAGGGCAGGATCTCCAACCCAGACCTTTAGTTTCAGGATGACATGGCCACTTCCCCCAAGGAGAACATCTCTGGCCAAGAAAAACACACAGAAAATAGGCAAGAAAACACCGAAATTTAGAGTACTCTTAATCATAGGACAGGACACATACTCTGAAGTATGTGTGGAAGACCTCCAGGTACATCATGGGGCATGAAAATCCACAGTGTGCACAACAGCACAGCTGGGGAAGTCGTCGTCACCAAGCTGTCACTTGAAGCCAAATTCAATCAGCACAGTGGCTGAAGGAAGAGGTGATGGCAGATGGAGGCATCTTGGGTGTGCACAGTAGGCAGGGTCCTGACCTGGAGGTCCCCAAACCCGCTTGGAGTTCCTGCCAGTTGCCAGCTGAGGGAAGCTGGCAAGCCCCCCCCCCACCGACCCCCATTTTCCCTTCTCTATGACAGGTAACAGGCTCAGTTGACTGTGACGCTTAAAATTCTGTGACTACCAACACTGATGATCTACAAATGATGCTAACAGAAAGAAGCTTGACACAAAAAGGCCCACACTGCCCAGTGCCATGGACATGGATTGTCTGGCACAGGTGGTTTGGGCTCTGTAAGGATGAAAAGTGGAGTAGTGATTGCCAAAGGCTGTAGCAGCAATGAGAGCTGATGGGTGGAGCTTCTTTCTGGGGCACAGATGTTCTCAAGGGGACTGCGGTGACAGACACATAGCTCTGCACACTGACTAAAAGGCACTGAACTGGACACTGTCAACAGGCAAACTGCATGGTATGTGAGTTATGACTCAGTAAACCTATTAAAAGAACCCAATGGTTTGAAGAGAACAGAAAGACCCTGCAGCCTCTTGATGACCAGCCATTCTCTGGAGGCCCATGGCCTCCTTGGTTCTCTGCCAGGAAAACCAGCAAATATGGTTCTAAGAAGCCCCTCTCTACAGTCCCTCTATGTCAGGGGTCTTTGTGTTTTGCACTGGCCTCATCCTGGAAGCCACCAGAACCCACTGGGATTGGATCCCCACTGCTGGTCCCTGGGCCTCAAGTGGCTCCTTCCCACTGCTCAGCACAATGTCCTAAGGCTCAATTTCCAGCATCGTGGCTGCTTCTGTTCCTTCACAGATGGGGATGCCACCAGAGAGGACTATGTTAAACCTTGCCCATGGTACCAGTGCTCAGCACAGTGCCTGGTACCCAGTAAGTGCTCTGGCGAAACTTGTTGACTGAATGTTGAGGCAGAATTCCAAAGCCTAGCACACACAGTTGGCTCTCCATCCTGACTCCACTCCCTTCCGACTATGTTATCCTGAGCCAGTCATGTACCTGCAGTGAGTCCCAATTCCTACCTCTGTAGGAAGCCAGGGTTGTACAGGAATCCTGGAGGTGTGGAGTTCTTTGTGAAGCATTCCTCCCATAGCTACCCCTGTCTCCATCCATGGAATCTTGTCCTTCCAGCCACTGCTGCCCAAGCGCTGGAATCATCCTTGACACTGCTCCCTCCCTCCTCACATCCAGGCTGTCAGATGCTCCTCAGGATCCATACATCATGTGTCAGAAAGTTGCATGGCTGTACCTGCACCTCACCACTGCTGTGCAGAGCAACCACCAACTCTTAGCAGGATTACTCCTGCTGACTCTGGCCTCCTGCTTCCACTCTTGTTTCCAGCACAGACGCCAGAGCAGACAGGTTAGAATTCAAGTCAGAGCTTGCCCCTCCTCAGCTCTGGGGCTTCACTTCACCCCGGGTAGAAGCTGACAGCCCTTCAGCCACCACAGACAGCCCCGCATTGCCACCAGTTCCTGCCTTTAACTGCTGCTTGCTTCCTTTGCTCCAGCTACACTGCCCTTCACACTCTTCGTTAAATGCACCAGGCACGCTCCTGCCTCAGGGCCTTTGAACTCACTCATCCTCTGCCCAGCGTGTCCATCAACCAGATATCCTTAAGCCTAATCCCCCTCACTTCCTTCAGAGTCTTTCTGATACTGACCCTGCTTGGCTGAAAAGTAAGCCAGAACTCCATGCACACTCATCAATGGCAGGCAGTGAAATCCCATAGTGAGAACTTTTACCTCAAGAGCAGGGGCTCAAGGTAAAAATCTAGGCTCTACTAGTTCTGCAGCTGAGGGACTCTAAGCAAACTTAAAAGCCTCTGTGCACAGCTGCTAATATCTAAGATAGGGGTAGTTCTGGGCCCACTCAGATGGCTGCTGCCAGTCCCTCCCACAAGTCCTCCCTCCGCAGAGTTTGGTCTGTTCCGAGGTCACCACACAGTGGACTTAGCAAAGGTGCCATTCAGCAAATATTTAGAATATTAAGTGGATATTCATTGACCCATTGTCACAACCTCTGGGTTTCCCCTGCTTCCTTCTCACAGGTCTGCCATTTCTCTCCAGCCCAGTTCGACCCTCAGAGCTACCCTGCTAGCAACTCTGTGGGCTGCCTTGTGCCCTATGTAAGCAAAGCCCCAGGTACAACCTTCTCCAGAGACTAACCTCCTCTGCTACCCTCTAGCCTGGTCATCCTCCTGGGCCACCAAGCAGCCAGAAGGCTCTCCTGCCTTCTCCTTGTCTCTGCTATAAACAAAACTCAGGATTCTGTACTTGTTTTTAAGACTCCTACACATCTCTCAAACAACCCCAATTCCCAGAGCCACCCTGCCAGGACCACCAGCTCAATTCCAAGCACCACTCTACTACCTCTTGTGGCCCCCAACTCCCTGAACACACACCTTCGGTGGTCACAGGGATCATTTCAAGATGTAGAAAATGCAAAGCTCACTCCACAGCTGGAAACCTGAGTCCCCAGTAGCTCCAAGTCACAGTGAGTAGAGCGTTCCAACAGGACTCAGCCCAGGCTGCCTCCAAAATCCTCAACCTTGCTATCTCACGCCCATTTAAAGTGGTGTTTTGTTGTCCAAAATTTTTATTTCCAAAACAGATTTCTCTGGGGGCTTTTAGCTTAATAAACTTTGTGAACTGAAATGGAAAAGTGATTTCTAAAAGCAACACCGACAAATCTCTCCTGTCCTAGGTTCTCCTCCTGGCCTAGCCTGTCTCCCCAACATGCTTCCTCTATCTCTAATCCCTCTCTCTTAAAGCCCCCGAGACAGGACCCGTGTAACTCCCAAGTCTGTGCCACCCCAAACCTAGGCTCTTCCCCCAGCTGCCTTCTGGCCTTGCCCCTCCCTGCATGCCCCTCTGTAAGCCTGCTACCTCTGCCCCTAAAGTGTCTTGGACCACTGCCCCTCCTGTTTCCACCACCATCTCTCTCAGAGCACTGGAACACAAGCCACCAGACCACCAGTCACCACCCAGCTTCCTGGCCCTAAACTCCACGAGTCCACACCAGCCACCCCAGGCTACTCACAGTCCACCTGCCAGGCCACTGTTAACTAAGGTCTCCAAGGCTACATGCTGGACATTATGGTGTGAAATAGGACATGGAACACATCTTTGGTCTCTTTATGCTCACCTAAGAGCTGGGACATGATGAGAGAAAAACATCTGTGAGGCCGCAGAGCTAAATGAGGCACAGACAGAAGATGCTGATCTGGGGTAACTGCCAAACTTGACCAGGCAGGTATATGGGATGGGGAGCAGGGTGGAAGGGCCCATTGAGGTTGACCCCAAAGATGCCTTCAGAACCAGGTTAAGACTTGGGACTATCTCAAACTCTAGAGTCACATCACCTGGGGTCAGAGCCCAGCTCCACCACC